TTTTTTTTGTGACAGGGAGTGCTGGGACTAAAGACTGAGAAGTTTAATGTTGTCAACTTGACTCATTCTACTATCCCCTGGAGATGTGCTCTGTCTGTGCAGGGTGATCTTGACTGTTAACTGGGATGGGAATATAACATTTTTATAGTTAATGGAGACGTGACTTAAGAGTAAAAAGCATGCTGGCATGATTGCTCGCACATGTAATCCCAGTACTTGCCAAACTGAGGCAGGACCATGACTGTGGAGGCCAGCCTAGGCTACATAGTGAGTTCCTGGCTAGCTTGGGCTAGAGTGAATGTTTGGTTCCCAGCACCCACATGGTACTAAAAACCTTCTGTAACTCCAGTTACAGGGGATCCAACTTGGAGGTCAGAAGAGGCTGTCAGACCCCCTGGAACTGGAGTTATGGGCAGTTGGAGTTACGGGTGCTTGGATTCGAACCCAGGTCTTCTGCAAGAACAACCAGGGTTCTTAACTGCTGAGCCATCTCTCCAGCCCCCGTATTTTAAAAACTTTTAAGGTCTGGGGCAAGGCTCATAGCCTGTGCCACAAACCTGTTTCTGTCCATTATGGTCTCATTTTTGTCTTGAATTGCCAGGAGCCCAGGTTGCCTACACCCACTTTCTCTCATCTGCCGTTCACAATGCCCAAATCTGGCAAAGGAAAATAAGGTTATCTTTGTTTTCTGTCGCTATAACTAAATACCAGAAGCTGGGAAATCTGTGAAGAATAACAGTTTGGGGTTGGGGAGATAGGTAAAGTGTTTCAAAAACATGAGGAGCTAAATTTGATACCCAGAACCCATGTAAAAATGCAAGGGGTGGTAGTGTGCACTTGAAATTCTAGTGCTAGGGAGGCAGACAGGAGGATCCCTGTGGCTCACTGGTCAGCCAGTCCAGTTAATTGGTGAGCTCCAGGTAAACAAATGACCCTGTCTCAGAGTTGGCTGGCATTCGTGAAGATAGCACCCAAGGCTGTCCTCTGGCCTCTTCACACACAAAAAGCTCACACATGCACCTTTGTGCACATGAACACAGAGACACACTCATGCATTTAAAAAAATATTTTGGGCTGGAGAGATGGCTCAGTGGTTAAGAACACTGGCTATTCTTGCAGAAGACCCAGGTTTGAATCCCAGCACCCACATGGCAGCTAACAACTGTCCATAACTCCAGTTCCAGGGGATCTGACAGCCTCTTCTGTCCTCCTCGGACATTGTACAACACGGGTGCACTTACCTACATGCAGGCAATACATGCATACACATAAAATAAAAATAAAATATTAAAAAAATGTTTTACAGCTACTTGGGTAGCTAAAATAGGAGGATCCTGTTTGAGAGCAACCTGGGCAAGAGACCCTGTCAAAAAGTAGGTGGTGTCTGAAGCTCTCAGTTGGTAGAGTACTTGCCTAGCATGCATGAAGCCCCGGGTTCCATCTTTAGCACTGCATGAACCAGGCATGGGGGCACTTGCATGGAATCCTAACACTTGAGAGGTGGAGGCAGGAAGATCAAAAGCTAGTCATCAGCTGGGCCTAGTGGCACCCAGCACTCAGAAGGCAGAGGCAGGTGGATCTGTATGAGATCCAGGCCAGCTTGGTCTACATAGTGAGTCTCAGGCCTGCTGGGGCTACAGGGAGACCCCATCTCAAAACAAAATAAACAACAAAAAAACCCCGTAAGTTGAAGGTCATCCTTGGAATTATGTAATGAGTTCAAGGCCAGTCTGAGTTACATGAGATCCTATCTTAAAACAAAATTCAGTTTGGCCCTTATATTAGAATGTCTAGTGTTGAAGGACATTTTTAAAAAACATTTTTATGGGACTTGAGTTGGCTTAGTGGTTAAGAACACTGGTTGCTCTTGCAATAGACCTGAGTTCAATTCCCAGCATCCACATCGTGGTTAACGATTGTAACTCCAGTTCAAGGGGAATCCGATGCCCTCTTCTGAGCTCTGCAGGAATTGCACAATACAGGTGTATCTACATACATACAGGCAATATACTCATACACACAAAATTAAAATAATAAAAACATTTTATGTGTATGAGTGTTTGCCTGCATGTGAGTGTACCATGTATGTGTAATGCCCAAAGAGGCCAGAAGAGGACATAGGATCCCCTGGAACTGGAGTTACAGAAGTTGTTAGCCTCCATGTGGGTGCTGGGACCCAAACCCAGGTCCTCTGCAAGAGCAGCCAATGCTCTTAACTGCTAAGCCGGCTCTCCAGCCCCCAGGACATTTTTTAAGAGCCTTCTTGGCAGTGGGGATTCTGTAGAGTTTCAAGGTGACATGGGGAGTTGAGATGAAAAGCAAGCACACTAGAGGTAAGCCAAATAACAGCAGAGTTCCTGAAATAACCCAGCCACCCATGAGCAGAGTCCTCCTGATCCAATCACTGCCATTACTGTTCCACTCTAAGTATGTGGCAGAAGCACATTCAGGGAAGCGTTTGGCTCAGTTTAGGCACAGCCATAGTCTGTGGTGGGGCAGGCATGGCAGCAGGAACACAAGGTGGCTGGTCACATTGTACATGCAGTTGGGCAGCAGAGACAAATGCTGTGCTCACCTGGCTTTCTCCTTTTCATTCAGTTCTCAACCCAATGCATGTAAAGGTGCTGCCCACTGATTCCAGGTGGGTCTTTCTTCAGTTCAACTTCTCTGGAAAAGCCCTCACAGGCATGCCCAAAGCCATCTCCTAGGTGATTCTAAATGCAGTCAAACTGACAATGAAGACTGACCATCACATCTCTTCAAAGACTCCCTCCCTCCCTAAATGCCCCACACAAGGAGTCCATTTCAAACCAAGTTGTTGGCACAAACCATTGCAGCAGAGGCCTAGGGAAGTCACATGACCTGTCCAAGGCCACTCAGCTGTTGGGGTAGGCATCCCACCTGTGCTGTCTGAAGCCAGAGCCTGCATTGCTGACTACTGCATCTATTATCCCTAGGCAGGTTTGTGGTCTTTTCTAATGACAATACCCCAGGGTCTCTACTCTTCAGAGACCCAAAGCAAATGGCAGAGTTTTAGCTCCCACTCCGCTGGTTCACTCCTCCCTTTGGTGGACTTTTGTTTGAGACAGGGTCTTATGTACCCCAGGCTATCTCTGAACTTTCTATGTAGCTGAGGACACCCTGGAAGGCCTGATCCTCCTGCTTTCTAGAGCTCAGATGACAGGTGTGGCCCACCAGGCCCAGCCTCCAGTAGAGCTTGCTCTCCCAGGGCAGCTGTATACTGAGTTATTTACCCCCAGATACCAGTTCTCCCCTCAGGAAGACAGCTTTCACACAAGCAGGACAGCAATGAAGCAGCACGCAAATTTTTTTATTCACATGACTTGTTAAAAACAGGCATTCATACAGTGTGTCAGATCATGGTGGGAGAGGAGGGCAGGATTGGGAGAGAAGCATGGGTTGGGGGGAATGAACTCTACTGGTAATAAAGCTCCAGGTTCATCCCATCGTGGATTTCATCTGAAGGACAGGTGTTAAGGAATATTCAGAGGATCTGGCTCTACCCTACACTCACTCACCACTGATCTGAGTGAGAGGCTCAACACCTAGAACCCAAACTATAAAATATACAGGGGCACATAAAGTCACTTGCCAAGCAAGCCTGTTCACCTGAGTCCAACCCCCAGAACCCACATAAAGTTTGGAGAGATTTGACCCCAGAAAGTTGTTCATGGCCTCCCCATGTGCACCATACCCGTTCTCCACCCCCCACCCCCAGCCCCCTGGAACTTGCTATGTAGGTGAAGTTGGCTTGGAACTCAGAGATTCACTTGTCTCTGCCTCCCAAGTACTGGGGATTAAAGATGTGTCCCACCATGCCAAACAGTAACATTTTAAACCTGAGGTCAATGTCCTTGTGAACCAAGTCAAACTATTTCACCAACCATTCTCCCAGCAAAGTAATTTCACAGTTCCCATTCTCTCAGCAGTCATCACAGGCCTCCCTCTAAGGATCTCATTTGGTTCATTTCCTACAGGCCCCAGTACAGAACCAAAAGAATGTGAGGGAAGTATTTAGACTCAGGAAGTCAATCAAGGGGACTGTAGAAAAGGCTCATCAGTTCACAGAACTGGTTGCAGAGGACCATGTTCTGTTCCCAGCACCCATATGGTGGCTAACAACCATCTGTAACCCCAGGTCCAGAGGATCTGAAGCCTTCTTCTGACCTCCATGGACACTTCATGACACAGGTTCACTTACATACATGCAGGCAATACACTGCTACACATAAAATATTAAAAAAAAAAAAAAAGTTGGGGCTGGAGAGATGGCTCAGCAGTTAAGAGCACTGACTGCTCTTTCAGAGGACCCGGGTTCGATTCCCAGCACCCACATGGTGGCTATGAACCATCCTTAACTCCAGTTCCAGGGGAATCTGAAGCCCTTTTCTGACCTCCGTGGCACTGCACAACATGGGTGCCCTCACACACATGCAGGAAGCACACTCATACACATAAATAAAAAAGAACTCAATCAAAGGATACAGTCTCCCAGAGACACGTGGTCCTTAAAAATCGTGTACCTATGGGAGAGACTTTTCTGAGAGAAGCTGATGGACAGTTTCTACCCTGAAAACAGGCTGAGCCATCATCTGCAGCACTGCAGCACTGCCCAGGTCAAAACCTTCCAGCCTAATCCAGACCAGCCCATGGCTATACCAAACCAGTTCACTCAACACTTCTTGTTTATTTTTAAGACAGGTGTCACTATGTAGCCCCAGCAGGCCTGGAACTCGCTATGTAGACCAGGTGGGCCTCGATCTCAGAGATTTACCTGCCTCCCAAGTGCTGGGATTAAAGGCCTGTGCCACCACTCAGCAATTACTCACCACTTCTTCAGCACTATCTTATTCCAACGAGTGCCAGTCTGGGCTGCGATCAGTTTCTTCAAGTCCCCGATGGTGTCATCGGTGCTGGGTGCAGAGGAGTTAAGGCAAATGGGAGGGAGAGGTAGAACCAGGAAGATATTAGGAACATACCTCATGCACCCATCTCATTTAACTAAAATCCACCCAACACCACAATCTTCCCCAGAAACCACTGCCTGTGACCTTTCACCCTTCGGTGGATACTTGCACTTGACGCGCACTTTCTTCCCCAGACGGTCGTTACAAACCACCTCGATCATTGTGACTGGAGCTATACAGGGTGAAGGGAGAGAATGGGAGATCAGGACTTCTGGGGTGTCACAGCCCCCTGAAGCCCCAGTCTGAAGGTACCCCCAATGCCAGGCCCTAAGTCAACCCCCTCCAGTTGAATATTCTGTCCTCCCTTCTCCCAACCAACGACGCGAACACCAGCAGTTCCAAGTCCAGCGTCTGAGTTGAGGGACCCCAGGCAGCCGCATCTCCGGCCCTTCGGCCGGAGTCCGGGCCGCCCAACATCGCCTCCCTCAATCTCCGGCCTCTCTGTTGCGCTCCCTCACTTCGAAACGTCTCCAACCTACCAACGCCACAACTTCCTACCCAGAACGCCGAGCCCTGACTCAATTTAAGCTGAAACAGGAAGCGGAAGTACGAGACAGGAAGTGTCCTTTCCCTTAGGTCCGTGTTCCTGTTAGCGTCTGACAAGGTGCTTCAAGGTTCCGGGCAGACACTTGTTTGCGAGTCTGTGGCGCAGTTTGGATGATCTAAGGCTGGTTAGGGATATGCTGAGGTTAAGGGAGGCTATGGGAGGATTTGAGAACGACGCCCAGCACGTGGAAAGCTTCTATTGGAGATTCGTTCCTTATGAAAGAGACCCAGAGGATCCCCAGGGTCGGGGATGATCTACCATTCCCAAACCGGACGAAGCCGCTTACGGCAGAACCTAGGCCACCGAACAGGGAGAATGAAGTCCTGCCGGCTCCATGGCCTTGTTCCTTCATTCAGAACTGAGCCCTAAAGCCTTTGCTCATCTCTCCCCTCTACCTGCCGCGTCTGTTTTCACGACACCCAAGATGCAGACTCCAGTCGATATAGACGAAGTCTGATTCTGCACGGGAGGCGCACCACCAGGGCGTCGCCATCCTCCCTCCGAGGATGCTGGAAACGCTGCAGTGGGAAAGAGCTTTTGCTTTGCTTCTTTATCTTCGAGAAACACCATATACCAGATTCCAGATTCCTGAAAACTAATGGGACAGGGGTCCCTTCCTAAATTCAACCAGCTTCTGTGACAGGATTTGTTTTTCCTTCTCAGCAGATAAGATTCTCGCAGATCGGTGAGCATACCGTGATTCGTTTTTAAAAGATCGCTTTAGGCCGGGCGTGGTGGCGCACGCCTTTAATCCCAGCACTCGGGAGGCAGAGGCAGGCGGATCTCTGTAAATTCAAGGCCAGCCTGGTCTTGAGTTCCAGGACATCTGGGGCTACAGAGAGACCCTGTCTCAAAAAGGAGCAAAAAAAGAAAGGTTTTTTTGAAATAGGGTATCACTATATAGTCCACACTGAGCTTCGTGAACTTCCTGCCTCAGCCTCCCGAATTACTGGATTATAGGCCTACACCATCACGACTGGCAAATTACTTGCATTTTATTTGGGGCATATTTGTGTGTGTCTGTGTGTGCTCGCGCACTCGCCCTATATGTGTGGAATCGAACTACATACCGTTCTCTTGTACATTCGTAGTGCTAAGTATCAAACCCAGGACCTTGCCCATGTTAAGCACACTACTTCACTACCGAATGACCATATAGATTCGGTGGGAGGGTCAACACAGTCTCTGTGGAGATCACCTTGACAGACATCTCTAAATGAAAAATCCAACAGGGCCTTATGCTTAACCAATACCATATTTTGTGTAGGCAGCAAAAAAAGTTTCGCTTTCTGTTGGGGCTTTAGAGATCGCCACGCCCTGGACCCGCCTCCTTCGCTTGATGATCCTACCCAGACTCCCCACAATTATGGTCTCCAGTGACTTCCCGCCCTTCCTTATGGTCTGGATCGGTTCCAAATTCACTGCAGAGCCTAGTTCCTACCCTTCAACACCTCTCAGACTATTTATTTATTTATTATTTATTTATTTATTTATTTTCGGTACTGGAGAGTAAGTCTCACGCAAGCTCTCTACCACTGTTTATACCAGCCTTTCCTACCCCCCACTTCTTTTGCGATGTTGGGGGGATCGAACCCAGGGCCTGAGCTGCACATCCAGCCCCAGGCCCTGCCCCCAGGGATGCTTAGAGGGCTCTGTCCTTGTTTAATGATGACTCTGATCTTATCCCACAGCCTCTCCTATCCTGCCCACCCATTCTAGGCTTGCCCCTTGTGATTCAGCTAAACTTTATAGGCTTGGTCGTCAGCTCCAGCCAGGGTTCTTGCTATGCCTTAGCCTCTTCCCCCTCAAGTTTCTCCCGGTGTTGTCTGACACCAGCTTTGTCTGCTCCTGCCGGCGCTGGAGCCACGCCTCCGGGGTTTGCAGCTTGTTCTCTGCGGGGCTCCCAGGCTCCGGCCAAGCGCTCGGGCCGCTCCCGGCCCAGTCACGCCTCTGGTTTGCTGCCCTCAACCCCGCCCCTTGATCCAGACATGCTCCTTAGCCTCTCCAGATCCCTGAGCATCTCTTCTCCCACTCCCTCCCTCCTGGCTTGTTGCCTGCCCTCAGCACCGCCCTCTTTGATCACGCTACCCCGCCCCCGGCCCTGGCCGCTCTCCTCAGCCACGCCCCCTGGCCTCTCCCTGGCCTGGTCTCACGGCTTGTCTGCTCTCAGTTACGCCCTCTGGGCTTGAAGCCTGCCCTCATTCCCGCCCCCTCTCTGGTCACGCCCCTGGCCTCTCCCCGCCCAATCACGCCTCGGGTTTGCTGCGTGTTCTAGATCCCGCCCCCTGCCCTGGCCACGCCCCCGGGCCGCTCCCTGCTGGAGTCGCGCCAACCGCAGCCTGGTCAGTCTTTGGCACCGGTCTCCGAGCTATCGCGAAACCTGGCTCGCTCTTGCCGCACTCCCAGCCCCTTCCTGAGACAGTAAAGTGGGACTCCCGGGCCGGCCTCTGAAAGTCGCACCCGGCCCGCCAACCCCTGCCACCTCAACGCCCTCAGGGGAGCGCGGCCTGGCCGCCACCGGAAGCGGAAACCCGGAATCACAGGACCATGGCGACAGTGTTTGAACTGCCGGACTTGGTGCTCTTGGAGATCTTCTCCTATCTGCCGGTCCGGGACCGGATCCGCATCTCCAGGTGCGGTCCCGCTCCTCGGGGTAAAAGCCGGGCAGGGGCACGGCCCCAGGTGCGGATCGGGTCCCTGCCGGCCTGGGTGGTGCTAACGACCTGTCCACTGCCCCAGGGTCTGTCACCGCTGGAAGAGGCTAGTGGACGACCGGTGGCTGTGGCGACACGTTGACCTGACGCTCTACACCGTACGTAGACACCGCCCGAGCGTCCCACTGTTCGTTTGTTCGCGTTTGTATTTTAAATTTATGGGTTTTGTTGTTGATTTCCTATTTGTTTCTTGGGATTTTGTTATTTTCTGGGTTTTTGGTTTGTTTGTTGATTTGGGTTTTCTGTTTGTTTGGAGGTTGCTTTGCTTTGTTCTGTTTGAAACAGGGTCTGCAGCCCAGACTGGCATCCAACTCACCATCCTCTAGCCTCAACCTCCCGAGGGCTGCGGTTACAGGCGCCGGCCACCTTGCCCAGTGCCCAGTGCAGATTTTTGTCTGTTCCTCCCTCCCTCTCTCCTTTCCTCTCTCCCTCCCATTCTTTCATCCTTCCTTCACTATGCAGCTACAGCTGCTGGCCTGGAACTCTCCGTATGGACCAGGCTGGACTCGATCTCATAGAGATCCACCTGCCTCTGCCTCCCGAGTGATGGGATTTAAAGGCTTGGAATTCCCTGCCACACAGTCTGAAGACTTTCCTGATGCCATCCTTGATGTCCTCAGCAAACTCCAGGCCAGCTGGGGCTATAGAGAGACCCTGTCTCAAAAAAATCCAAGAAAACGAATAAAGAACAGTTTCTGGCCAGCTGTGGTGTCATATGCTTTATGTGCCAGCACTTGGGAGGCAGAGGCAGGTGAATCTCTGAGATCAAGGCCAACCTGTTCTACATAGAGAGTTACAAACCAGCCAGGGTTACATAGCCACATAGTGAGGCCTTGTCTCAAGAAAAAGGGGTGGGGAAGACCTGGAGAGCTAGCTCAGTGGTCAAGAGCACTGGCTGCTTTTGCAGAGGACCCTATTTCCCTGGTTCAGTTTCCATCACCCACATGGTGGCTAACAACCGTCTTTGTAACTCCAGTGCCAGGTAATCCAATCCCCTCTTCTGGCCTCTATGGACATTGCATGCATATGGTGCACTTACATGCAGACAAAATACTCATATACATAAAATAAAAATGTTTTTTTTTCTAAAAAAAAAAAAAAAAAGCCTGCAGAAGCTGAGTGTGGCAGCACATGCCTTTAATTCCAGCCCTTGGGAGACAGAGGCAGGCTGATCTCTCTGTCAGTTTGAGGCCAGCCTGGTCTATATAGCAAGTTCCAGGCCAGCTGGGGCTACTAGGAGACCCTGTCTCAAAAAGACCAAAAAATAAAAAATAAAAAGCTTGCAGAGCCGGAGCTGTAACAGGTCATCTAGCTCTGGTGAAACCCTGGGTTCCTTTACTAGCACCAAGAAAAGAAAAAGTACCTTCCTCTCTGGTGTACTTAGCCACTAGTACTAGTACAGAAAAAAGGCTTAGAACTGAGTCTGGCCTGTGCTCAGCATATAATATATGATAGTTTATGAGTATTACATTATCTGTTTTCTCTTTTTAATTTGTGGTTTTATTGTTTAGTTTTGTTTTTTAAATATATTTTTTAATTTTTATTTTATGTATATGAGTGTATTGCCTGCATGCAAGTGCACCCATGTCATGCAGTGCCCACAGAGATCAGAAGAGGGCATTGGAGCCCCTGAAACTGGAGTTATAGGCGGTTGTTAGCCACCATGTGGGTGCTGGGAATAGAGCCCAGGCCCTCTGCAAGAGCAGCCAGTACTCTTAACCACTGAGCCATCTCTCCAGCCCCTTGTTTTGGTTTTTGAGACAGGGTCTCACTGTAGCCCCAGCTGACTTAAAACTTGCTATGTAGATCAGGCTGACCTCAAACAGAGATTGCCTGCCTCTGCCTCACGAGTGCTGGGATTAAAGGCAAGTGCCACCACACCTGGCTTGTTTTGTTTTTTTGAGACTGTCTTCTGTAGCCCAGGAAGGCTTCCAGAAGTTGACTGTGTGGCTGAGGATGACCTTAACTTTGATCCTCTTTCCACCTCTCTGCTGGGATAACAGGTGTGCACTGCCATACCTGGAGATCAAACCAGAAGTCTCATGAGTCCTAGACTAGCTCTTTACCAAGAGAGCCACACCATAGCCCCCTTTTTTTTTAGGGTCTTGTTGATGATAAAAACACAACTCTCTGCTGGGCATGGTGGTGCACGCCTTTAATCCCAGCACTCAGGAGGCAGAGGTAGGCAGATATGTGAGTTCGAGGCCAGCCTGGTCTGCATAGCAAGTTCCAGGTCAGCCAGGGCTACAGGGAGACCCTGTCTCAAAAAGACCAAAAAAAAAAAAAAACAAAAACAAAAAACCCCCCACAACTCTCATCTCAAAGATCAGAGATAATTTATTCTGGAGCCAAATATGAGGTTTCTTTTCAGTGTATGCAGTGCCTGCAGAGGCCGAAGAGGACATCCAGTCCCCTGGAACTGGAGTTACAGACAGTTGTTAGTTGACATGTGTGTGCTGGGAACTGAACCCAGGTCCTCTGAAAGAGCACCCAGTGCTCTTAACCACTGAGGCCCCCCTCCTTTTTAAGGTATAATTTATCAGTGCACATTGGTTTTTAAGAAATTATACAAATCAAGCTGGAGAGAGCTCATAAGTTCAGAGTGCTTGCTCCGCAATCGTGAGGGGCAAAATTTGGATCCCAGCACCCACATAGCAAGCTGAGGGTTTCAAAAGTTCCTGTAGTTCCAGTTCCAAGGAACCCTTTGCACTCTTGTAGCCTTGGGTGCACAGGCATGTGCACCCACATGCATGTGCCCATACATTCACACATACATACATACTCATAAATAAATCTTTAAGGAAGAAAAAGGAAATTATACAAATCATGAATAATTCTAATAAAAATATTGAAATTAGCCAGGTGTGGTATTGCCCATGTATAATCCCCATTAGGGGCTGAGGCAGTGCTCTTGAGTTCCAGGCCAGACTGGACTCCATAGTGAGACCCTATCTCAAAAAACAAAACAAATAGGGGGCTGCAGAGATATCTCAGCAGTTCCAGGGATTGAACTCAGGTCACTAGGCTTGCTTGAGTAGCAAGTACCTTCATCCATGGAGTCATCAAAAAGGCCTGTTTTAGCATAATATTACTTATACGCAATAATAGGTTTCATTATGACATTTTCATGTTATACACATGAGGTATTTTGATCCTATTCACCCCATCTCCTTCTTTTGTCCACTCCCACCCTTGTTGATCCCCTTCCTCCCCCCCCCCACCCCTTATACTTTCATGCCTTTTCTATCTGGGTTTTTTTTTTTTTTTTTTTGTGACTCAAGTGTGGTGGCCCCTGCCTGTCACCCCAGCTGTCAGGTGGAGGCAGGAGGATCATAAATTCAAGATCATCCTCAACTACATAGACTTTGCAGACCAACCTCAAAAAATGAAAAACGCCTGGAGTTAACCAGTTTGGCTAGACTGCTGGCTAGCGAGCTTAATTCCTGACTGGGTACATAACCCAGTACTTGAAAAACAGGGGCAGGAGGATTACTATGGGTTCAGGCCAGCCTGGGCTACATGGCAAAACCCTGTCTTAATACAAAAATGGTGGGGGGAGGGAGCAACAAGATTAACCAAAATTGCTGGGTTTGGTGACCTACATCTTTAATCCCAGCCCTTAGAAGGCAGAGGCAGTTGAATGTCAGCAAGTTCTAGACCAGCTGTGGCTACACAGTGAGATCCTGTTTAAAAAGAAAACAAAAGCTGGGCGTGGTGACACACACCTTTAATCCCAGCACTTGGGAGGCAGAGGCAGGTGGATTTTTGTGAGTTCGAGGCCAGCAGGACAGCTGGGGCTACAGGGAGACCCTGTCTCAAAAAGAGCCCCCCCCCAAAAAAAAGAAAACAAAAATTAACAAAAATTATGTTTGTAAATTCTAGAATGAAACCTATTACTTTGTAGCTAATTAAAAACTTTTAGTAATTAGCCTCTTGGGGTATAATTCAGCAGTAGAACCCTTGAGACCCCCAGTTTGATTCCCAGCAATACACAAACACATGCCAAATTCTTGAAAAAAATATTATTTATTGTGTGTTTGCTTGATGCTCATGTGCCATCGTGGTACTCCTGTTGAGGTCACAAAACAACTTTTGGGAGTTGGTCCTCTCTGTCCACTGTGGATTTCTGGTATTAAACTCAGGTCATCAGGTTTGCATAGTACTTTTACCCAATGAGCCACCTTGCCAGCCCCAAATTAAATATATTTTTTAAATGATTTGGTGGGGGCAGGAGAGCTGGCTCAGTGGTTAAGAGCACTGCTTGCTCTTGCAGAGGACCCTGGTTTAGTTCCCAGCTCTCAGATGGCAGTTAACTAGTTAACTCTAGTTCCAGGGAATCTGACACCCTCTTTTGGCCTCCACAGGTATTTCACACACAGTTGCACTTACATACATGCAGGCAAAACACTTATAAACATTTTTGAAAAATGATTTGGGAGCTGGAGAGATGGCTTAGTGGGTAAAATGCTTGCAAGTATAAGTTCAATCAAGAGCCTGTATAAAAGTGAGGTGCTGTGGCATGCAGCTTTTATCCCAGCACTTGAGAGGTAGAGAGAAGTGGATCCCAGGGGCTCACTGGCCAGCCAGTGTAGCTGAAGCAGCGAGCTCCAGGGTCATTGAAAGACCTTGTCTGAAATATTAAGGTGAAGAGCAATAGAGAAAAAGACCCTACATTGACCTCTGACCTACATGCCTGCACACATGTGTATGCACAAAACAAATTTGTTTTTTGGTCTTTTTTTTTTTTTTTTTTTTTTTGAGACAGGGTCTCCCTGTAGCTCCAGCTGACCTGGAACTCACCATGTAGACCAGGCTGGCCTTGAGATTTGCCTGTCTCTGCCTCCTGAGTGCTGGGATTAAAGGCATGTGCCACCATGCCTAACTTATTTTCTTTTTAAAAAAATTTTATTTATTATTTTTATTTTATGTGTCTGAGCCTGCATGTATGTAATTGCACCCATGTCGTTCAGTGCCCACTTGGAGGTCAGAAGTTCCCCTGGAACTGAAGTTATAGACGGTTGTTAGCCACCATGTGGGTGCTGGGAATCAAACCCTGGTCCTCTGCAAGAGCAGCCAATGCTCTTAACCATTCAGCACTCTCTCCAGCCCCTCTATCTACCATATTTTCGAGGCTGGAGCTCTGCATCCTCCTGCCTCAGCCTCACCTGAGTGCTGGGATCATAGGCGTGTGCCCCCACACCTTGCAAAGGAAACTGTTCTTGCTCCCGGGAAGGAAGCCGGAAGGAGCGGAGCATCCCAGGGATCCCAAAACCCATGTCCAGGGGGAGAGGGGCGTGTGTGTGACCAGCTAGGTACCTCTCACCGGTACCGGGATCTCTGGTTCTTCCAGATGCGGCCGAAAGTGATGTGGCACCTGCTGCGCCGGTACATGGCGTCGCGGCTACACTCCCTGCGCATGGGCGGCTACCTGTTCTCAGGTTCGCAGGCCCCACAGCTGTCCCCCGCCCTGATGCGGGCCCTGGGTCATAAGTGCCCGAATCTGAGGCGCCTGTGCCTGCATGTAGCAGACCTGAGCACAGTGCCCATCACCAGCCTTCCAGGCACGCTGAGGACCCTGGAGCTGCACAGCTGCGAGATCTCCATGGCCTGGCTGCTGAAGGAGCAGGACCCCACTGTGCTGCCGCTTCTCGAGTGCATTGTGCTGGATCGCGTGCCAGCCTTCCGTGATGAGCACCTGCAGGGCCTCACGCGCTTCCGGGCCCTGCGCTCCCTTGTGCTCGGTGGCACCTACCGCGTCACTGAGACCGGCCTGGATACTAGCCTGCAGGAGCTCAGCTACTTGCAGAGGCTGGAGGTGCTGGGCTGCACTCTGTCAGCTGACAGCACCCTGCTGGCCATCAGCCGCCATTTGCGAGATGTGCGAAAGATCCGCCTGACAGTCGGGGGCCTGTCAGCCCAAGGCCTGGTGTTTCTGGAGGGCATGCCGGCCCTTGAGAGCCTGTGCCTCCAGGGGCCTCTCATCACTCCAGAAATGCCCACCCCCGCTCAGATTGTGAAGTCCTGCCTCACCATGCCCAAGCTCAGAGTGCTGGAGGTGCAGGGCCTGGGCTGGGAGGGCCAGGAGGCCGAAAAAGTTCTGTGCAAGGGCCTGCCACACTGCATGGTCATTGTCAGGGCCTGCCCCAAAGAGTCCATGGACTGGTGGATGTGACACTGCCAGCCCTGCGGGTCAGAGCTGGCCCTCCAAGCAGCAAATTGAAGCATGGGAATTAATCAGGTGCAAGGGGACTGAAGGTCTGAAGGAGAGGAATCAAGGACCTGGGGACCTCCAGAGCTGGGGTTCTCTGCTTGATGGGTGACCTCAGTCCTGTCACTCAGCCTCCCTGAAGCCCCATACTCATGTCTAGGAATAGCCATCATAGCTACCTCATGATTCTTTTGCAAAGCCTTATTCTCTTTTTTTCTAGTACTGGGGATTGAACCCATGGCCCTGGGCAAGTTAGGCAAGCCTTAATTATAACAAATCCTTGACTCCGGAAGACCCTTGAGACAGGGGTGTTCTCAGGGTCACCCTCAGGAACAGACAGGTGCAGGTAGGTAGGGTTCAGGGCCCTTACAGGGCCTGGAAGGAATTATCTATGCATGTGCACACACCTGTCTGTCTACCTACAGGCATGGAGATTCAAGGACAAGAAAATGCCCCCGAGTTATCCAAGTGTTCTTTTAAGTTCTCAAATGGGTTTTCTGTGTTTTGTATCCTGCCTTTTTCAAGTTTTCTACAGCATATAATATTTTACTATTAAAAAAAATCACTTAAAAAATACATTCCATGTATTCATTTTTCAAGTGTTACCCCAACATTTACTATTTCATGGTCACTCTATTTATTTTGATTTTCTGAGACAGGGTCTCACTATCTAACCACAGATGGCCTGGGACTGACTATGTAGACCAGGCTGATCTCAAACTCAGAGGTCTACCTGCTTCCTCCAGAGTGCTGGGATCAAAGGTGTGTGCCACCACGTCTGGCCTTATTTTTTCATTTTATTTATTTAGAGCCAAACTCTGTCTCATACAGCCCAGGCTGGCCTCAAACTCAGGATGACCTTGAACTCCTAGTTCTGGCTTCACCTCCCCAGTGCTAGCATTACTAGTTTGCTCCACCACACCTAGTTCATGTGTTGGGGATTGAACCCAGGGCTTCTTGCTAGGCCAGCACTCTACTCACTGATCCACAACTCCAGCCCCATAGAGGCCCCACTTTAGGTACAAGGGCTTCACTGTACCCTTGTACCCTGCAGCTCTGGGAGGAGGAAACCAGGGGGATAAATAGGTAAGCACACTTGTAGGCCTAATGTGGTGGCACAGGCCTATGATCCCTGTTTGCAAGACATCAAGGTAGGCATCTCATGTTTGAGGTCAGCCTGGGCTGCACAGTGAGACCAGTCTCTCAAGCAAAAACATCCTTGGAAGAATTTCAGCACCCCTAGGGTAAGCCAGAGTATGTGACAGGGTGGACATGTGGTAGAGGGCAGGGTGGGCCCCCACAGAGATCTGAGAGCTGAAGAAAAGCAAGCTCTTGAGGACAGCTGGGGATGACCACAGGAACACAAAGACCTTGAGATGGGGCTGGGGTGTGGGTCAGCAGCAGAGCCCTTGCATAGCGTGCACAAGGGTCTGGGTTTCATCTCCAGCACCTAACAAGGGCGAGATGGCTCAATGGCTGAAGGACCTTACTGTCGAGGCTAATCACCTGAGTTTGATCTCCAAGACCCACATGGTGGAAGGAGAGAATCCATTCCTGAAAGCTGCCTCTGACCTCCACACGTGTCTGTCTCTCTCTCTCTGCCTCTCTCTCTCTCTCTCTCTCTGTCTTAAATCTCTTCAATATCTCTCACAGTTTCCCTCCATTTGGGGTTATCAGTTATGCCAGTCAACTGCAAAGTCTAAGCAATGAGACAGATACTTCAAAAGAAGTGTGCTCTATCTATACTACACTACATAAAAGAAATTAAAAGTTATTGTCAATGTATATGTTTTTACACACACACACACACACACACACACACACACACACACGCACACAAAGACCCAGACAAGGGAATAAATTCGGCATTTGCAGAAACAAGAACATCTCATTAGCAGAGTGAACAGCACAGAAAGATGGAGAATGTTAAGTTGACAGTGAGGGAGATAACGGAGGCCAGGGTAGGCAGAGCCCCAGTGGGGGAGGTTGGGGGCTTCCTGTCTGTGCAGTTGGAACAGCTTGATTGTGCAGGTGCCAAATACTGGGTGATGCTGAAGTGGTTCTTTGATCTGAGCTTGGGGGAAAGGGCTGTGGCTGAACCCCACATTTATGGGCTTACCACCTGGGCATTGTGGGGAGAGAACAGAGGACTGGGCTGGAGGCACTCAATTCCTCACTCCAAACTCACCCATTGGGGAGGAGCTGTGCATGCTTCTTACCTGTTTCAGCCACATGGGATACAATAGAAAGTCCTTTGGGGAGGGCCTGTGAGAAGGCTCAGCGCCTCATGGGGCCAAACCATGAGGGACTTTATTTTTATGTTTATATTTTTTATTGCAAGTCATACCATCCAGTTAATGTTCTCTTCTGAAAACCTTTTTTTTTTTTTTTTTTTTTTGAGACAGGGTCTCCCTGTAGCCCCAGCTGTCCTGGAACTCTAGGTAGAACAGGCTGTCCTCAAACTCACAAAGATCCACCTGCTTCTGCCTCCCAAGTGCTGGAATTAAAGACGTGCACCACCACGCCCGGCTCCCTTTTTCTTTCTTAAAAAAATTATCTTTATGGGGCTGGATGGATTGGTTAGCAGTTGGGAGCACTGACTGCTCTTGCAGAGGACCCAGATTTGATTCCCAGCACCTGCATGGTGGCTATGAACTGTCCTTAACTCCACTTCCAGAGGAATCTGAAGCCCTCCGCAGCATCGCATGTCACGGGTGCACTCACATACATGCAGGCAACACACTCATACACATAAAAAAATAAATAATTAATTTAAAAAATTAAATGGAAATAAAAAATTTGTCCAGGCTGGAGAGCAGCGGACTCAGTAGTTAAGATCACTGGCTGCTTTTGAAGAGGACTGGGGTTCAGTTCCCAGCATCCACATGGCAGCTAGCAACCATCTGCAACTCCCACTCCAGAGATCTGACACCCTTTTCTGGCCTCTGTGGGTACAAGATGGGTGTACTTACATACATGTAGGCAAAACACTCATAAAATAAATATAAGTGAATAACTCAAAGGCCGGTGAGATAGTTCAGTGGATAAAGGTGCTTGACACTAGCCTGATAATCTAAGTTCAGTCCTAGAGACCACATGGTAGAAGGAGAGAACAGATTCTTAAAAATTGTCCTCTGACCTCCACATGTGAGTACCCACACACAATAAATATATGTAATAAAAATTTAAAACAATAGCTGGGTGTAGTGGCACATCCTAGCACTTGGAAAGCAGAGGCAGGTGGGATCTCTATGAAATCAAGGTCAGCCTGGTCTACATAGAGAGTTCCAGACCCGCTGGGGGTATAGGGAGACCCTGACTCAAAAACGACAACAAAAATGAAAATGGAAACAATCACAAAATGTCTCAGCAGTAAAATGTATATCAATTTCATGGCTTCTCTTTTTTTTCCTCCTTTTGGTCAATGAGATTATAGGGTGGCTCTGGAAGTGCCTGGAGTAATATTTCAATTTGATACCACAAAACCCTGACTCTCCAAGATTGTATAAAGGGGTCTTTTACTGTAAATGAGGCACCTTGTGAGATTCCTTGAATACTGCAGTTTTACACAGTGGTGGGGGATCATTGAAAAGGCCATATATGCTCAGTGCTTAAGCATGGTTCTTGCTAGTTTTTAAATTATTTATATATTTTTATTTTATATGTATGAGTGTTTTGCCTGCATGTGTGTAAGTGCACCACGTAAGTGCAATGCCTGTGGAGGCCAAAAAGAAGGCAGCAGATCCTTTGGAACTGGAGTTACAGATGGTTGTTAGCCACCATGTGGGTGCTGAGTACTGAACCCAGGTCCTCTGCAAGAGCAGCCAGTGCTTTAACCACTGAGCCAGCTCTCCAGTCCCTTCCTTATCTTCCTATCCCACTTCAGTATGTATAACTCTTGTTTTCTCATCTGTTGACCTGTTGCTCCCCACCCCCACTCCCAGATGGATCCAAGCAGAAAGCAGCTAGATGATAAAACTGGAAGATAGAGTGGGACAGGGACATGTACCCAAATCCCTCCATCCTTGTCAGCCTCCCCACAGCCCTCTTTTCTTCCCCTGCTTTCCCTTCTGTTTCTGGGGATGGAATGCAGAGCCTGGCACACACTAGGCAAACACTCCACCACTTAGTGACAACTTCAGCCTGAAAACACTTTGTTCTCTTGAAACTGTTTTACCTGACACGAGGCACAAAAGAATGCCACACAGTGATGGTTGAATTAAGAGGCCTTTTAAATTAGCCAGAGGTCAAGAGCAGGCTCATGCTCAAAAGAAGTCTCCACCCCAAGGAGAGGCAGAGCAAGGTTTATAAAGCTTAAAACCGCAATTACATCATGCCAGATGCAAAGCCAATAACCATGGTTATAACATACCAGGGGCAGGTTAATTAACAGTTTTCAGTTAGCAAAAAGTTCCTAAGTTTTGGTTAGAAAAACAAGTTTCTCAGAATTGCAGAAACAATGGGCTCCCTGGACATGCAGGTATATCTGGGAGAGAACATTCTGCCTAGCTAGTTGTAAGTTTCCAAGTATTGTAGAAACAAGGTACTCCCTGAAAGTGTAGGTGCAGCCTCCATGAGGCTATTCTGCCTGGTTGCATGCAGCTGGCAAGGGGTTGGGGAATGCTGGGCAGAAACGGGATGGAATCAGTTTGGGCATTTCAATACAGGGTCATATCATGTACCCCAGAGAGTTCCAGGCCAGTCTGAAATATGATGGGGGAGGTGTTGGGGTGAAAAGCAATTCCAGGTTAGCCTAGAATTTGTGATTCCTCCTGCCTCAGTTTCCCAAGTATTGTAACTGCTGGTATGAGCCACTATGTCTAGCACCAAAGTTCTTTTAATTATTTCTTTTAAAATTATTTATTAAGACATTCTCACTATGTAGCCCAGCTAGCCTAGAACTCACTTTGCAGATCAGGCTGGACTTGATCTCATAGGGATCTGCCTGCTTCTGTTTCCCCAATGCTGGGGTTAAAGGTGTGCCACCATTCCTGGCTATTAAAATTTTTTTTTAAAATATTTGTAGAATTCATTGCAGGGACTTAAATGGAATTTGGGTATTTAAAATACCAAGAGATAGCTGGGCGTGGTGGTGCACGCCTTTAATCCCAGCACTTGGGAGGCAGAGGCAGGCAGATCTCTGTGAGTTCAAGGCCAGCCTGGTCTACATAGTGAGTTCCAGGTCAGCTCAGGCTGCAGGGAGACCCTGTCTCAAAAAGATCTAAATAAATAATAAAATAAAATGCTGTGAGAAACAATTTTGACTTTGATTAGCTCAAGCATCTCTAGCAGTGGTTTATTAAATTATTTATTTTTATTTTATCTGTATGAATATATTACCTGCATGTGTGTAAGTGCACCCATATTGTACAGTGCCCACAGAGGTCAGAGGAGGGTGTTTGATCCCCTGGAACTTGAGTTACAGATGATTGTTAGCCATCGTGTGGATACTGGGTCCTGTGCAAGTGCAACCGGTGCTCTTAACCACTGAGCCAGCTATCTCTCCAACCTGGTGAATTCTTTTGAAAAGAACTTTAAAATTTTTTAATTTATGTGTATGAGTGTATTGCCTGCATGTATTCAAGTACAAC